AATGGAAAAAATTAAGCTGTGGATATTCTCAAGAATGATTTAGAGAGAAAAGATCATTGATTTATTATACTCCCCTCATCTTCTCCAGAAGGCTAATAATAAAGTGACTGCACAAGCTGTACTCCACCCCAGCAATATAAACATTTCTTTGCCCATGTTTGACTAGAAGTCTGCTTGTGAGCTCTGAATTGGCTTTTACCACACACTAGAGCCAGCACCCAGAAGCAAAGATCACCTTAAACCTCTCTTAACACCTGCTGATTTTGTGCTCTTTCCTTATAGCCACAAAGCTCCAGAGCTATAAAATCAGAGAGAAAGTCTACCATTTCATATTACCTAAGCCTCACAAGGTATTGGTTATTACATAGCCCCATACTGAGCACATGCAAAAAAGATGAAGAAAGCGCTCCTCACGAGGGATACCTTTGTGGTGACGGAGTAGTTCTGTATCTCCATTGTCCTGGTTATGCCAATCTTGTCCCCGGTTATGCGAACCTTATACACACATATCGTGCCACAGTCAATTTCCTGGTTTTGACACTTACAGTTAAGTGAGATGTTGGGGGAAATTGGGTAGAGGGTAACTCTGTACTGTCTTTGCAACTTCCTGTGAATCTGTACGTATTTCGAAATAAAATGTTTTTTTAAGTGCACTTTCTTGTGTCCATTCACATACTTTGAACATTTTGCATTAGGACAAGTCGTGGAGAACAAAAAACATGGCGTGGTTTTCAAATGTGAGGTTTTCAACCGCAACCCAAGAGAAAGCTTGAGGCTGGGACCACCCTCGGCCTGGGATACCTTTCCGACCTATTGCACCGCCTGTCCTCCTCCCCAGGGGTGGCTCCTTCTCATCTTCCAAGTGCCATCTCAAGGCCACCTCCTACAGAGGCCGTCCCCGTTCCCTCTGCTACCCTCCGAATGCTCCGCTCTCTTCACAGCGCCCTTCCCCATGAGCAATGACTTGTTTACGTGTTTGTCGCCTGTCTCCCCATTACACTTTATATTTATACACACACTTTAACCTCCACGGGGGCAGGCACCGCTTCTACCCCTTGTCCGTGAGCACACCGCCTGCCAGACGGCAGGTGTTCCGAGAGAAGCATTTTGTTTGAATAAATGCACGTCCCTCGAATGTGTCTACCGCGGCTCGGGGGAGCTCGAGTCGGTCCCCTCCCCTCACACCGTCATCGGCCCTCTCATGGCCTGGGCGCCCTCACCTTGCCCATGTCGGGGCTCCGCGGCCCCCTCCCCACCACTCGGACCCCACCCTGTCACGAGGGGGCGCCACTTGCTTCCCTCTAGGTCGCAGCCCAGAGCGGGCTTCCTGCTCCGGTACCGCTTCCCAGCACGGCGCCTTTCCCTTTCCGCACCTTTGCCTCAGGCCAAGTCTCCTGCCGCCTCCCCAACGCCCGCAGCCTCCGCCCCACGCCCTGGGGCCCGCGTCCCTCCCTTCCGGTGCGGGCCCTAGGGCCGGACTAAGGCTTGCGGGGGGCCCCTGCCCCTCATGCCAGGCGGAAAGAGCGGCAAGCGGTAGTGAAGCGGCCGCGCCCGAGGGGCCCGCGAAGGGGTGGGTGGAGTGGGCGTGTCCTCCTCCACCCTGGGCGTCGATTGGTCGTGTCTCGGGGAGGGGCGGGGCCGCGGAAGGGGGCGGGGCCGTAGCCTGAGTCCCGCGGCCAGCGGCTCCTCCGGGCATTGTCCGTGGCTCGGTCACCGGCGACGGGAGAGCAAGGCTCCGACTCGGGCAGCATGGCTGAGAAGCGACACGAAGGGGACACCCAAGCCCGGCGACTCCCCAACTCCTTCAATGGTGAGCACACCCGCCGCCCCTTAGGCCTGCCCGGAGGACCCAGCCCCAGCCTGCGGCGTGAGCACCCCACCCTGTCACGAGGGGGCGCCACTTGCTTCCCTCTAGGTCGCAGCCCAGAGCGGGCTTCCTGCTCCGGTACCGCTTCCCAGCACGGCGCCTTTCCCTTTCCGCACCTTTGCCTCAGGCCAAGTCTCCTGCCGCCTCCCCAACGCCCGCAGCCTCCGCCCCACGCCCTGGGGCCCGCGTCCCTCCCTTCCGGTGCGGGCCCTAGGGCCGGACTAAGGCTTGCGGGGGGCCCCTGCCCCTCATGCCAGGCGGAAAGAGCGGCAAGCGGTAGTGAAGCGGCCGCGCCCGAGGGGCCCGCGAAGGGGTGGGTGGAGTGGGCGTGTCCTCCTCCACCCTGGGCGTCGATTGGTCGTGTCTCGGGGAGGGGCGGGGCCGCGGAAGGGGGCGGGGCCGTAGCCTGAGTCCCGCGGCCAGCGGCTCCTCCGGGCATTGTCCGTGGCTCGGTCACCGGCGACGGGAGAGCAAGGCTCCGACTCGGGCAGCATGGCTGAGAAGCGACACGAAGGGGACACCCAAGCCCGGCGACTCCCCAACTCCTTCAATGGTGAGCACACCCGCCGCCCCTTAGGCCTGCCCGGAGGACCCAGCCCCAGCCTGCGGCGTGAGCTCCGCGCCCTGACAGCCCGGATCCGCTGCTTCGGGCTGTGCGAGCGCTTCTCAGAGCCGCCGTCTCCTCACTCGTAAACGGAACGAGCGGTGTTTCGAAGGCGGGGGTCACGATCTAGGGGTGGTAGGGTGCAAAGGGCACAGTCCGTGCCGGCCCACGGTGGACGCGCCAACGGCAGGGGGCGTTTCCAGTACTCAGAGCCCCGTGTCTGGGGCTTCCGTTATCCCGCGGTCGCCGGGAGCCAGGCCTGTGCCAGCGCTTCGTTATCTCGTGTCATCCACGCGGACGAGGACACTCAGAAGTACTGGCAGCCAGCCAGCGGGGGATCCTGGACCCCAGCGTCCTCCCCCCTCGCTCTCCCCTGTCTTTCTCTCCTCCGGAACGGGAAAGAACTCCCGCCCCCCCCCCCCCCCCCCCCCCCCCCCCCCCCCCCCCCCCCCCCCCCCCCCCCCCCCCCCCCCCCCCCCCCCCCCCCCCCCCCCCCCCCCCCCC